ACTAAGGGGGAATCGCCCTGAATTGTGATCGCTACCAAAACCCAAAGGGATAAATGGGGCCTGGTGTGCTCATTGGTGTGAGCGCAGTGATGATGCTGTGAGTTGGGCACAGGAGAGAGATGCACTGTGCTGTCAGGGGGCATTTGCCTTTGAACCCAGCTTCCTTCTGCTCGGTCCTAAAAATACTCCTTTAGGCTTCACTAATGCTTGGATTCCCTGGCCTGGAGGAGTAAATAGGCAGGTCACTGTAAAGAGAAATCCCTGGGAAACTGGAAAAGAAATGTGGGATCTGAGTACCTTCTAATGAATTATAAGTTTTCTGGGGTCAAGGGTTACTGCTTTTTATTTTTGTTTGTTTTCTGTTTCTCCCCCTTTCTTCACCCATTTTCACTTGTTTGTACATTCCAGCTGCCATTTTGACTAGCCTGTAGCCCAGGCACAGGATGCTTCCCTCCTGGTGCAGCTCTGAGCTTCCCTCAGGTCCCACTGAGTGGCACAGCCGGAGCAGAGGGCTGCGCACAGTGCGTTAACGCTCCGGGTTTCTTCACAGGCCTGAAGCGCAGCTACACCTGCAACATCTGCAGCGTCACCCTGAACTCCATAGAGCAGTACCACGCGCACCTGAAGGGCTCCAAACACCAGACCAAGTAGGTATTGTTGCGCTTCTGGTTGTGCTCCAGTCAGTCCCTGCGTGCTGAATTGCCTGTCAGTGCTCTGTGCTCTGGCAGCCCCATCAGTGAGGAGCTCAGGGTGCTGTGCAAACACAGGTACCAGAGTGTCAGGGTTTAACCCCAGGCAGCAGCCAAGAACCACACAGCCTCTCACTCACTCCCCCACCAACAGGATGGGGGAGTGAATTAGAAGGGTAAAAGCTACAAAAACTCATGGGTTGAGATAAAGACAGTTTAATAGAGAAAGCAAAAGCTGCACACACAAGCAAAGCAAAACAAGGAATTAATTCACTGCTTCCCGAAGACAGGAGGTGTTCAGCCATCTCCAGGAGAGCAGGGCCCATCACGCGTAACGGTTCCTTGGGAAGACAGACACCATCACTCCAGATGTCTCCCCTTCCTCCTTCTTCCTCCCACCTTATATACTGAGCATGATGTCACATGGTGTGGAATATCCCTTTGGTCAGTTTGGGTCACCTGTTCCAGCTGTGTCTCCTGCCAATCTCCCATGCACTCCCAACTTCCTTGCCAGCATGGCAGTACAGAAAGCAGCAAAGGCCTTGACTCTGTGTAAGCTCTGCTCAGCAACAACAAAAACATCTCTGCATTATCAACTCTGTGTCCTGCACAAAACCCAAACATAGCCTTATACTAGTCTCTTTGAAGAAAGTTAACTCTACTCCAGCTCAAACCAGCACACAGAGGCACCTCCAGCTGGAGGAACTCGGGGCCAAGCCACATGGGCTTCCCGGAGTCCTGCCAACTCTTGGTTAATGATACTGACTTTGCCTCTTCTTTCATGTGTGAAACCTCAGAAGAGACACCAGGAGCGTAATGGGATTAGGTGTTTCCCAGTGAAACTGTTTTTGCTGTGATTTAGAGCAATTACCCAGCTCTGAGAACTGGGGAGAGTCTGTGCTGTCAATTATTAAAAATTATTAAAATGAAGTGATGAAGGTACATGGTACCAGAGAATAGATTAATGAACTAATCGCTCTTAATGTACTTACATGTGAGCTTTGGGAACCATTTGAGGCTGAAGTGCTTGGGACTGCCCAGATTAGGAGAGGAATATAAAGGGATATACCTGAAGTACTTCAGGTAGCTTTGAGGGCAGTCTGAAAGGTGAGCAGGATAAGCAGAACCAGCAGCAACTACTAATTGCTCGTTTTGCTTAAGCTGCCAAAGGATAAACCCAGCCCTTCCCCAGTGGATGTTGGACCTTCACAGATTCCTGGTATTATTCAAGTTAACTTTAGCCCATTTATTCCAGGAGCACTTGAATGTCTTCCAATGGTAGTGATCCAGCACACCTGCCACTTCAGATGTGTTGTGGAGCAGAGGGCTGGGGTCAGGCAAGCGACCTGTGGCTTTGGGCTGTGCCATGAGCCATCTGGGACCTTCAGCAGGTCCTTCTTTGCCTCCATCTCCCTTTCTCCTTCAGCACCTCTCCCTGATGGGCGATGGGTTACGTGGGGACAGGGCAGACAAGGTCAGCGTCTGTATGCAGCGCAACGAATTCCCACTGCTGGAAAATAGAGCTGAAAGCTCTCCCCATTGGAAACCTGGAATGAGAACATCTGTGCTGTGCTGCCTGGGCCCAGAGCTGTAATTTATCCTTCCCCTGCCAGTCCTTCTGAGTCTGTATGATTATTGCTGTGGTTGCTGCTATTACTGTGAATGATAAAGGAGTTAATCTCAGACCAGAGCAGCCACATGGATGGGAAATAGAGATGTGCAGAAAGATGTGCCACTGCTTCCCAGGGCTAGGAGAGTGCCTGGTCCTCTGGGTTATCCCCACACCTTCTGCTCTGTTGTGCAGTCTCCTGCAATTAGCAGAGATGAAGAAATCTTCATTTTTATTGCTGTGAACAAACATCTTGGGAAGTTATTCGTGCCTTGGTTGTTGTAGGAGTGGCTGATGGCATGTGCACCCACAGCCCAACCCATTCCCAGTGCAAAGGGATGTGCTGGGCAGCACAAACAACACATTTAGCATGGCTGCATCTTTGTTTTTGTAGCTTTCTCCACAAATTACCTCTTCCATACGAAGAAAGGGAATTTGGAATTCCAGATCTGGTCCTTTGCTGAGTTTCCACAGCTGTGATGTCCCACTGGGTCATGGCACACTGTGCTTCCTTGAGGTGCTCCGTGCTCGGGAGCAGGTGAGGGTCATCCCCCCCTTGTGCCTCGGCCAGTGTTTTCCCACTGGTTTCTGCTGTTCTCATTATTGTTGGTTAGTGTCAGGACTGTCCTCTGCCTCGTAACTCAGTCTGAAGGCCAGTGGACTGCAGTTGCCAAGGCAACAAAACATTTTATGTCACTGTCATACTTCATATAATTAAAAACTAAACAAACCCAAAGGAAGGAGCAGCAGTTTGTGAAGAAAAGAGATGAAGGGATACAGGGATTTTGCTCTGGGACAGGTGAGCAGGGAAGGTGATTGCAGGGTGGAAGCTGGTACCATCCAAACAATACTGGGCAGATGAGGCTGCTGGAAAGCTGCTTCAGGAGAGAAGAACTTTTATGAGCAGTGAGCTGCATTGTGGATATTTATGATTGTTCCTGAGAGCTCTGCAGAGAGCAGCACACAGTGAGCCCTGGCTAGAGCTGCTTTAAATAACCCACCATACAAACTGGAAGCCTGGCAGCTGTGTTACTGGACCCTGTCACTGCCCCAGGTGGGGCTTGGGGTCCTGGGGCTCCACAGGCAGCACAGAATTTGTGGCTCATACCCTGCAGCTGAGCTACTCTTCCCTGGGGGGTCTGGTGAGGAGAGCTGAGCTGTTCACTGGAGTTTCAGGAGCTCCCCCGAATGCTTCTGACTGCATTTGTTTGACCAAAAGAGGTGGAAAATGAGGCTTGTGGAGGGAAGCTGGAAGTGTCTTGGCTCGTATTTTAGTGTTGAATAAAAGATGCAGGAGGAGGGAACTAATTCTGAGCCGGTCCTTATCCCTCTGGCCAGTGAATATGCAAAGCAGAGATATCTGCCAGCTCCCATTTTTTCTCCAGGGTGCAGGTACTTGAGCTGTGTGTTTGACAATTAAGGTAAGATGCTGTGTTGGATGCTCAGGGAGCTCAGGGCTCAGCCTGGGCTCTGATGGGTGATGCTGCTGGCTGTGGGCACGTGCCAGCATGGAGCAGGTTTTGGAATGTGGCTGGACTCTGGAACATCTGCAGGGGGGAGGAGCACTAAACCTTTAATTAGGGATTTATGAGCTGCGTGGAGATGATTGAGTCATTGTTTGACTTGCTTTCCAGAAATAGATGTGGGTTTTTTTAGTCTCCTCTCTCCCTCCCTCCTCTCCCAAGGAGCAGAGGAGCAGCAGTGCCAGGCAGGGACCAGTGCCCACTTGAGCTGAACTGTGTGGGCACCAGCAGCTCCTTCCCATGGGGACCAGTGACAGCCAAATGCCAGCTGTGAACATACCTCCGAAGGACTGGGAAGGAAGCATGAGCCAGCTTTGCTCCTCACTGCTTGCCATGGGCTGGCAGAAACAAACCCTCCCTCTTTTCAGCTTTATGTAAACTGTGAGGATGAAAATTCACTGCTCAAAGTGATTTGCAGCAAACAATAGGGATTAAAGTCCCGTGTAGTTGTGAAAGGAGCCAGAGGATATTCAAATTCTGGGGTCAAAGCAATGCTGTGCAGAATGTTAACCTCGGACTTTGCAAAAAGTGCTTCCCTCCTGGGGCCAGGCTGGGGCTAGGCTGGAGACAGACGCTGGGACATCACTGCACCAGGAGGAAAGAGCTGTTTGGAAAAGACTCTCTGGAGAGCCCAGATCTGGGTCTGAAGTAACTCCTCAGGGTGTGTGAGTGGAAGGACCAGAGCCAAGACCCACATTTGGACTAAGTCCCATGCCTGAGCCAGCTGCAGATCTGCCACAGACTGCAGTGATGTGCTGGAGAGCAAGAGCTGAGAGCTGAGTGGTGTCCTCCGTTGCTCGGGCTGTCAGCAATGGGAGGCTGAGATCCAGCCCTAGTAATTAAGAGTCTGACTATGTGAGGATAATGATTCCCACTTCCATAAAGAAGAGTTTTATCTTCTCGCCTTCATTTTGTCTCTTTGATCAGCCAGACCTATCTGCCACATCTAGAGCTCACAAATGTGTTCTGGGGTTTTACAACCACTCATTTATACTTTCATAGATGCTAATACACGTCTGGGTTTCCCTTTCAAACTCAGGCTTCCTGATTAATTGTAGGATTTTTGCAGAGAGGGAACCCAATCTTCCAGCCATCATTGGGGTAAAACCAATTCAATGGTCAAAATGAATTCCAAGGGGTTGAGAATGGTCATATCCATTTGGAGAGGTGTCTCTGCAGCAATTCCTTTGCCTCGACTTTGGGCTGCACCCTGTGGAAGCCCAGATGGTTGAGGAGTGGGGAGAACAGGCTTAGGCCTGGGCAGGCTCTTTTCTTTTTTTTTTTTTCCTGGCTGAGAACACAGATGTCTAATTGGAACAGGGTATTTATCAACATAAGCTGCTTGGCTATTCAGCAATTGGAGCTAATCAAAATATTGTAAATATCATGCCTGGAGAAATGTCACCCTCACCCATGGTTGCGTTTCCATCGCTTTTCCCATCTATTTAAGAAAGTGTGAACAAATATTGACAGCCTGTTATGGCTGAGGCACGTCCTGGGATCTGCAAGTCTGGCACAGGAACGCACAGGCAGCTCTGGGGGAGGCTCTGGGGCTGCCTGGACCAACTGCATTTGGGGCAGATTTAATGCCAAGCTTTATTTCTGTTTCCCTGGATGTTTCCAGCCCTGTTCCTGGTGCCAGGGGATTGGTCCCACCCACTCATCCTCACCCTGAATGAATGTGTTCTTTGATATAAGATTTCCAGTACATTTCAGGAAACTAGAGTAAATATTTGTATTGAACTGTGCACTTTACACCTAAGCCAAATCATAGAATCATAGAATTTAGGGGCTGGAATGGACCTTACAGATCATCTAGTCTCAACCCCTGCTCTGGGCAGGGACACCTCCTCACTAGATCAGGTTGCTCAAGGCTCATCCAGCCTGGATTGAACACCACCAGGGTTGGGGCAGCCACCACCTCCCTGGGCAACCTGTGCCAATGGTTCACCACTCTTACAGTAAAAAACTTCCCTTCCTTCAGTTTGAATCCACTCCCCCTTGTCCTGTCATTGCAGTGCCTAACAAAGGGTCCCTCTCCGGCTCCTTGTAGCCCCTTCAGAGACTGAAAAGTTGCTATGAGGTCTCCATGCAGTCTTCTGATTTTGTTCTTACCTTCTGTATGCTCTATGTAACATACAGTGGCTGATGCCTAAAGAAGCCTTTAGAGCAATAACAACTCCAGAAGATGAATAATTATGGAAAGTATATGGAATTGTAAGGCTTTTGAATGTCATTGTTTCAGTTCCAGAGAGCAGCTGAATAATTACACTGCCTGTGAAGAGAGAGTGTGTAATACTGTCTCTCATTATAGGTCCAAATGGTGTCCCTTCCCTTTTAATGTAAGTGAAAATGAAGGTGTTGCTGATATCTTCTGCTTTGGTCGTATTTTGAAGGCCCCAGAACGGCCTGTGCAGCTTCGAGCCGTGGTGTCGGGTGTGCGGATTGTTTTGATCTAAAGCCCAAACACTGGGCTGGTTGCTCAAAGCACACACCAATTCCAGTGAGGAGTCAGCTGAGCCGTGCTGGACCATGGAGGAGGCGAGTTGGGCAGGGTTTGGGAGGCTCTTAAATTCAGATTGAGGACCTAAAGAAAGGACACTTTTTCCAGATTGTTGTGGTGGTTTTCTGTCATAAAATACAAAACTGTCCTTAAAATTGCAAATATGCTTTAGGTAGAAAGAGTTTATTTAGTTCTTTTAAAAACTGAAGTCTCCACATGGCTCACATGGAGCATTCACTGTCCCTGGAGGTTTTTAAGCTAAGACAAGATGTGGCACTGAGTGCCATGATCTAGTAACCACGATAGGGTTGGACTTGATGATCTTTGAGGTCTTTTCCAACCCAGTTGACTCTATGAGTCTATGATTTCTTTAGTCATCCCAAGGAGAGCTGTGGGTTTGCCTGGTGCCGGGTCCCATCGGCTTTGCCCAGGTAGGGAGGGATGATGAATGGGCAGAGCTCTGAGGTGGGACAGGGACCACCAGGGTGGGGTGTGACTTCAGCTTTGTTTCTCTGTTGCAGTCTGAAGAACCAGTAGTAGCTCCTCAGTGGAGTTGAGGACAAGCACCGAGGCTGCTCCACGGAGGAGCAGGTCAGCGGGAGAGGAGGTTTATTGGACAATGATCCTGTGTGGATTCGATGATTAACATGTAACTAACCTTCGCTTTGGACAAATACATGGATTTTTTTTTTAATTTTGTGGTGAGTTAAAATATTTCAATGGATTTTTTTACCCTTTTAAGACTATATTTATTCAGCACAGAGTCTAGAGAATGATAACTATCCTGTAAATACAGCACTTACTCATCAGTCATCTTCAGGGACAGTGGAAACAAACTATTTTACTTTTTCATATTTATTCTTAGGTTTCTCCCAGGAGTATAAGATTATTCTATTACATTATCCATGATAGTGATGTAATCAGTCTTCAATCAGAAATAAACACACTTTCTTCACCTTCTCCAGCATGGTTTGTGTCAACACATAAAAAGCAACAGCAGTGAATCACGGGGATTGTGTAACGGATGAGTTTTTCCCTTCCCTCTTTGTCTCCAGAGAAACAAAGGGTTCTATGAGTAAAGAACACTAAAATGAAAGTGTGAATTCCTTTTGCTGCTGGTGGGATTCCTGCAGGCTTGACAGAAGCTGTTTGCTTTATGGACTCTGTTGCAAGCCCGAGGCCGGACCCTGCTCTGCCTTCCCAGGAGCCACAGCCCTCCCGGAGAGCCGCCGGAGGACGGTGGGAGCAGAGCCCTGGCAGCGGCCGGGCCGGTCGGGAGAGTGACACCGGCAGGGAGACGGCGGAGACACGGCCGGGACCGGCACTGGGGATGGTGGAGAGGCAGCAGGGACACGGAGTCATCCCTGTGCAAGTCCAGCTTTGACTCTGCGGTGCACCAGGCAGCAGCAGCTTGTTCCCTCTGCCTGGTTTGGGCATCTGAGCAGAGAGAAGCAGCCGAGTCAGAGGAGAGACCTTTGCTGTTCCACATCCCGGGAGCTGCCCGAAGCTCTGCTGGTCAGGAGCCTCAGTCCCCTGGACTGTACTTGAGCCTCTGGTCCTGGGTCAGGTGTGCTGCAGCATCGCATTGTTCTCTGTGTGGGGACAGTAAGAGCCACTGCAGAAGCTCTTTGTGATTAATTTGTGCTCTTGCATCGATGCCTTTCATGTGTGGAGGAGAATGGGTTGTTCACAGATGAGTAAACATCTCCTTGGGTTTCATAGCTGTGGGGCGGTTTCGTTTATTGTGTTTTGGATAATAACACGAGCCGCCAGTGTTCCTGAAGCTAAACTGCCGCTTCATGGAGAATGATTTACAGAAGTAGGGCACATCCGTCGTGCGGGTGCAGCCTGGCTCTCCGAGCCTCCTTTCCCCAGAGGAGCACCCAGGGTGCTGCAGAGGCAGTTGTGTTAGGAGAGAAAACCAGAAATCTTCTAACTCTGTGCTCTGGTGATCACTACAAGCTAATTGCAGCAAATTAATTACAGCACAAACACAATTTCTTTCCCCAAGCAGGTGTGGAGACAGCTCTGTGCCGAGCCTCTGCTCCCAGCCACGCTGGCTGTCCTTCTGCCCTGGCTCCTTTAACTCCTGCCTGGAGTTGGTGGCTTGCTTGGTCTAAGAAAATGACCAAAGACGGAGGACCTGTCTCTAATTTAGGAAGATCTAGACTTTATGCCGCTCTGGCAGCTCTCAGGCAGGCAGTTTGTCTCATGGCACTGCAGAGCAGGAGGGTCAGTGCTACCGATGGCATTCCCATGTCCCACCTTCTGTGCCACCCAGCCCTGGCAAGCAAGAGGCAGGTGAGGTGGGAGTGAGATGCCCCAGGGCATCCCCCAGCTCTCCTGCTCCCACCTGGAGTGACAGAGCAGCGCAATATTTGCATTTGTTGCCAATATTGTCCTGGTCCAGTCAATCAGGCTTTGGTCCCTAAATCCTTCTAATCTCTTGCTTTTCCTAAGTTCATTAGGCCTTCAAGCAAGACATAAAAAGACAAATCTCCTCATGGTAAGTCAGTGATCCCTGCAGAAATGCTGCCAGATCTCTGATGTCGAGCCTGGTCCAACTACCCCAGGCTGAAACGCTGTGAGCAGATGTATTAGCTTTGAAAATGCTTCAGTGCAACCACTGCGTCCCCCAAGGTTACTCTAAATTGAAGGATGAAATGATTTGCATGTAGTTTCTTAATTAAAAAACCCAAAACCATGTTCTGCATTTTTCATGCAGAACATCTATATGTTACAGAATTTAATTTCGTCTGTTCCGGCCAATTCTTTTCCTAGTTTAAAATTCTGTGCAAGATATTCTGTAAAGAAAGTAAATCTCAGTAATGCATCATCAGTCTGGCTGGGTCTCTCCACACACATGCTTTGCTAACTGGAATACCTCTGGCACTGGGAGACAGCTGGAAATGTGATTATTAACACCGAAACTGTAATCTTTCAGACCTGTCTCATTAGTTTGTAGCACATACTAACACAGCTCTCTAGACTCTGGCACAGATGCATCAGGTTATGCTTCAGGGGCAGGACACTGACTTTCTGTGGTGTTTTATTCTGAGACATAGCCCAGCATAAATAATAGGTGGTTTTGTCTGGCTCCTCGTGTGAGCTCTATGGCAACAGGGTGTAACGTGAGGCTGCCCTGACACAGGTAGCTTCATCCAGAGATTAATCACGGGAGGAGAATGCTCCTGGTACGTAAGTGATGCTTCCTTTGTTAACTTCCTATTGCATCAACTTAATTAACAAGTCCTGACCTTTAAAACCACCTTTCATAGTCTTCGAATTAAGTATATGGAAGTCTGATTCCTCCTCTGGGCTGTGTTGGCAGCTCCCTGCACCTGTCTGAGCTCATGGAACCAGTTCCCAGGCTGAGAGGCCGTGGGAGTCCCCAGGGATTCCCCAGGGCAGGTCTGGAGACAGGCAGGCCTCAGTCTGGGGGCTGAACATTTGGGATCTCAAACTTTGCAGAGTGTTCTCCACTGAAGTGGCTGCACTGGGCTCAAGTGCAAGAGTTTATGATAGATTTTGAGGTGGGCACTGCTCCCTAATCGAGGCCTGTCACCTGCTCTTGGGTCTCTGACAAGAGCCTTTGTCTAACATGTTTTTAATCAGAGTGTATTTCAATTTGCATGTTAATAGGAAGGAGCTGTTATTACAGCCGCTGTTGATGAGACGGTGTCAAGCCCATCATCCCATCTGAGGAGAGAAAGAAACTGCATCTATTGTGTAAAGAGTGACATTGGCAGAAAACATGTCTGAGGATCTTTGCCTCTGTCTTCCTTTATCTCTGCCTTTATTTTGCTCTTACTGGCTTGTATGGATGCATTCATTAATCTTTTTTTTCCCCCTTACAACAAGGATCATTTAACAGGAGACTAAGACAGGATTTTGTGCCTGTTGTGACAGCTCCAAGCTAAATGCCACAGTTCTGTTTGGTGTTTTTGACTTGTAAAATGGTAAAAGGTGACCCCAGTCTGAGAGACTTTTATTGCAGCTCACCCAGCAGAGTAATTAACAGGCTGTAATGAACCGTGGTGCTGCTCACTCTCCAGGTTCCAGCCTTTCACAGCTCCACAGGTGTAGGTTTCGTCATCCAGCCCCGCGCTGGTGACTGGGCCGCGGTGGTGAAGCCACGTCCCGTGGTCTGGGCGGCGGTGACGGTGCCAGCGGAGCATGGCTAGTGCCACAGAGGATGCACACAGGAGTGGGATGAGCAAGAGCTCAGGAAGGGCTCAGAGCAAGCCCCGAGTACTGGGAAACTAAAAGCCCCAAGGAAAAAGCACTTTCCCCTCAGCCCAGCTCCATGGACGGGCTGGAGGAGGAATGAGCCTTTTTTTTTGAGCTGGGACCCTGCTGGGTGCTGCTGGGGAATGTTGGGGGCAGTTGTAGGTCAGGGTCAGCTTTAGTATCACTGAATTTTAAGCATGCTCTCCTAATCTGGGATTAAAGGACACAGATAGTAAAGGGCTCTTGGAA